GACAAAGAGATGAATTAAACTCAGGTCTCCTGAGTGCCAATCTTTTGCACAGTTCAGAGGACTGTGCCTTTTTAAATTCAGTTTCACTAAGAATGTTCAAACTTCATCTACGGAGATAATGAAATTCAACCCAATATAAGCACTGGTGCACAAATGCACTTAAAATCATGTGCAACTCTGAACAAGCACTTCATTTCATTAGAGCCAGTGGGGTTACTCAGTCTTGAACTTGCATACACATATATATACATATAGGCTCTGTACTACCTTAGAGCTGGATTTTCTCTGTTGAATTATTTGATGTAAATCAGAATCTGTGTATCTGTGATTCAGTATCCAGCACGTTCAGGGTTTAATTAAAGAAATTCTATTTCCTTTCACTCCTGGAGGCTCTTTTTGATAGAGGTACCCCTCAAAATACGATCAGATTAATTCCTTCAGCATTTAGAGTCTCATTTTTAAGAAATTTAAAAATTTTTAGGGCCCAAATAATTTAATTAATTTTGAAATTATTTGAATCCTATAACCTCTTGTAGAAATTGAAAGGGAGGATTTTTCCTGTTACTTTTGTATATTGGGTTATTTACAGTGAACAACACAATTCATCATATTGTTCTGTGAAATTTAAAAGCTGGAAAACACCCAGAGGACAATGACAAAATTAATTTTAATTTTTAGATGTTTTCACTCATTCCTTATACAGCGAGCAAACAATAAACAATACGACAACACATTTTCGTATTTCAGTCTCTCCTTAAAGAGTAAAAAAAAATAAATACTTCAGAAGGATAATACCAGAAGCATTTTGTATTTCCAAAATTAACTTTGAAAGGCAGATTATCTGGGCATGTCTGAAAGCTATGCGTAACCTTTGCGCTACATATATCTCATTTCAAAAGTGTCATATTCTCGGTAGGGCTTCTGTGAGGCTATTTTAAGCACTGTGCTACTTGCTTGGAGACAAGAACTGAAGTTACTAGAGCCTACATCTCTTGTTTTGCTTGAGGTTTGTTAGAGCTGGGCAATTGCTTGGTAGTAGGGCACTGCTAAACGTGGAGAGTTCCTGGCCAAGCCACGTAAACTCTGCGAAGTTCACTGCTGTTTGCAAGGATTATTGTGTCTCCAGTTTACCAGTTATGGTAGTTTGGATGGTTCTGACGCAAAGGAGGGGCTGCTAGCACAGCATTCCGAGCTCCCACAGCTGGGGCAGCTCCTGTGAGGGCAGAGGACCACGGAGCAGATGCTGAGTTTTCTTCCTCTGAGCACCTCCCATCTCTCACAGGCCTGATGGTCACTTGTGTTTGTGTGTCTCTGCAATAGAAGCTCTTTGAGATGGATGTTTAGGGGAAGTTGCACCTGGCAGAGAAAGAAATAGTTCTGACTTTCATTTCTTCCGCTGGCTTTGGATCAAGACCCGTGTCCGCTGACGTATGAGTGGCAGAGTTTCAACACAGGTTACTGGCAACAGTTGCACCAAGGATATAGTAATCCATGTGGAAAGGCACTTAATTATCCCTGTTTAGGGCAGACAACACAGCAGTTATGTGTACCACCAGTATGTCAGTGTGGTTTGCTTCTCATAGGAGTTTATGTTCCCAGCAGCACCGAGTGCTTTTTCTGCCTGAGAAATGTCAAGTACTTTAAGCAATCTTGCCTGTTCCTCTCTCGAGATTGCCAAATAATCTCCTTTCATGGGGTAGGGGATCTTGCCAGGGCTTCTGCATTCATGCACGTCTATCTCTGCCAAATGTTGGTAACACAGGAACTGCACAAATACTCCCTGCTCCTTTCATTAGCTTTGCACAGCTCTGTTTAGCTGCAGGATTCCTGGGTTTTTCTCTGTTATTCCAGGCTGGAGCGGTAGTTCATGATCCATGTTCCATTTTAAGGTGTGCTGTAGGATTCAGCCCTTGCTGTGGAGCCCTGTTTCAGAGTAGAAACCTTTTTTAAATAAACTGAAATGTCTTGCATCATTAACTTCTTAAAGCTAATTCTGTTTGCCTCCTGAATGTCCCCCTGCATCCAAGGGGAGTTCATGGTAGATTTTGAACAGTTCCTCTGCTCCCAGTCATGATAAAATGATTCCTTTCTTATTTATTCATTTACCTGTGTAATTTCTCTAGGAAGTCTTATAGTTCTTGTTTTGTGCAATATATAGGAGGTAGATACCTTTTTACCTTTTAAAGTTTAATTAAAATTCTTAAGACATTTAGTTTAAAATTGTAATTTGAAAAGTCCAATTTGTCAAGGAAGGAAAAAGATCTCAGTAACACACCACCTCCTGGAAATAGATGGTTTAATAAAATTAACTATGGCAGAGGAAAAATGCTTTAGAAAGAAAATGGAAAGTAAATCACCCTGTCATGTTTTACTCTGTCTCATACAGTGAGGTTGGGTCATTTGACCTTTTTGTTGATAATGTCACCAAGATATTTTAGGCTAATGCTACATATCATGCAATGGCAGATGAGGCTCTGTGTGTCACTTGGTACTTAATTTCAATCCATGCAAAAATACAAGACTAGATGGCAGAATGTCAATCATTTTTCCTTGACATTTCTCATTTGCTCATTTGTAATGTAATAACCTGTGAATGTTGTATATGCAAAATTCAGCACCTGAGGACAGGTTTAGACCATGTGGCAGAACCTCATCAGTTGGATAAAAACTGTGAAAATGGAAGTAAGGAAGAGGAAAATATGCTTTTTCTAGCAATTTGTTTGAAAACACAGCACTTGTAGCCACTTTTGGCTGTGTTCTGATACAAATATCAGCTAACACTATCCTTGAATGACCACTGGCACAAGGGCATCTCATATTTTGATTATTTGTCCATCATTAACATCTCTGCAGATAAAGAGACGAAGGAGGGGGGGTGGGGCTGTGAGACAGAGCATGTTCTCAGTGTGGTGCCTGTGGCACAGAAGACTTGGAAACAAGCAGGGGTTTGAGGAATCAGAGGATCAGGAAATGTTTCTATCTCAGGTATTCATTAAGGAGCATGAAGCACAGGGAACTGAAGACTGGGAGAAGCCACTGTGTACAGTTTTCAGATGTAGCTAAAACAGAGTTCAGGTCATGTGCAACGTGTTCACAAATGATCAGACAGTTTGTGACAGTCTCATCGACTGTCTCTTCGTTTTAATGACAGGAATCTGAATAAGATTGCTTTTGACAGGGCTATAAATCAGATTAAGAGAGGTGTGGAGAAAGGATTGAGATCAAGTTTATGTCAATAGAATATATAGAAATATAATTTACAAATAACAGACTAAACAGAAAGGAAATAGTAATTTAGCTGGAAGCACAGCAAGAAAGATCTGCTAGTATTGTCAAATACATCAGGAGTAATATTTTCTGCAAAGCCCAAATGATTCTGGTAGCCTACATCTCATTCCCAAAAGTCTAGCCTAATACATTCAAGAAAATTAATTTGGGTTAATTAAAAAGACAAATTTAAAATGCATTAGGATATATCCACACAGTGAAAAATTATCAAGCTACCAAACACTCCTATCTGTGGTAGCTTTTGCATATCCCTAGCCTGCTGCAAAGTGGAACACATTAATTAGAATCATCATGAAAGCATAATATCATTTTTGGAGTGTGTTTTTTTTTTTCTTTTATTTCTGGCAAGATTTCTTTTTTCCTTTTGCTTTGTTCTACCTTAGTTGTATGTTTAGCTTAAAGAAATGTTGCTGACAAAAAGTGGTCTCATTACTTCATGTATGTACACATGCACATATTCCTAAACAAATTCCATATTCCTAAACAAAACTTGTTTATCATCTCCCTCTGCTGCTATGCCCTGTGGGAATTGAACAGAGATTATTTATTATTTATTATTTCTCTGAGCACTGAGTTCACAGTGGCAGGTTTGTAGCAGTGAATTGCAAGGAGTAGCAAAGTTTGGAAAGGTGGGAAAGCTGCCATTCAGGACTGGCCTGTAATATAAGGTTTTTTTGGGGGGTTGTATGTTTGTTTTGGTTTTTTAATTGAGAAACTTAGCAATGAGGTATTAATTGCCTTATAGGAATATAAGCAAAGTTTAGTGTATGTGGTAAATTTTGTTTCTGTATAAGTTTGTTGAATCTGCTTTGCATAAAAACTGACTTCACCAAAACATTTAATGAGATATTTTATTAACCCTAGCATTTAATGAGATACTTTATTAGCTCTTTATGCAAAGTGAACAAAATGCAATTTCCCTGAGTTTCTTTATTGTTTAATTCATAAAGGATAATTTCTAAGGAACCCTTGACCTCTCATTTCAAATCAATTTCATCACAATGTTTTGATTTATAGTTTCAAAGACAAGGTTCCTATAAATAACCTGTGTGGAAAGGATTTGAATCTGTGAGATACTTTGTTCCTCCTTGACTTCACTGAAATCTTGTTAATGATAGGATAGATTTCAGATAAATTATTAGGATTATCTCAACAGTAGATTTTTCAGTTTGTGTATGAATGTTTCCTTTCTCGGTCAGTGCTGAGAGAATTGTTGTGCTTTATGCAAGAAGTTACTATAAATAAAAAGGTCTTGCTCCATCACTGTGTCACTGCAGTTACATCACTGTCATTCCAGCATGAATGTTCAGGATCTTAACTGTTCTCTTGGAGCCAAAAGGAGTTAATTTTGAAACTAAGTGTTACGTCTTTAGCGGCTCTTTGGATCTTTAAAAGCCCGCAGTGATATTTGAAAAGCATAATATTTAAAAATGGAAAGTCTCCTGTCCCAAAGAGTTTGGGAAAGAACAGATGTCTCGGAGGAAGGGAAGTGCTCACTAACTACTGGAACGTCAGAGCGTTCTGGGGTGACTCTAGGGGTGTTTTGAATAGAGGGTTATTTTTATAATGTTCTACTGATGTAATACCAGAGAAACCCAACAACAAGCTGGTCCCAGGGAATTCATTCCAGAATTCTGACACCGTGATGGAGATCTTATGGTTGACAAAGTGTTACATGCTTCTGATTAGTTTATATTCTGTTCTGTTTTCAGTGTCAGCCAAACCAAGACCTCACAGTGATGAATACACAAAGAAGATTCCACCTCCTAAGCCGAAACGAAACCCAAACACTCAGCTAAGCACATCTTTTGATGAAACGTATATCAAAAAGCATGGCCCTATGAAGACAACACTCACTAGGGATGCCTCTTTGTCGCAGGTCAGCAGTCCTGCTCCAGACACAGAGGAAGAAGAGCCTGTTTATATTGAAATGGTTGGGAATATTCTCAGAGACTTCAAAAAAGATGAGGATGACCAAAGCGAAGCCGTCTACGAGGAGATGAAATACCCTATATTTGATGATGTAGGCCAAGATTCAAAATGTCAATGTGAATATGACCATCACACTTGTTCTTCTCAGTGTGCTACTCCCACAGTGCCTGACCTAGATTTCACCAAGTCTTCAGTGCCATCTACTCCCAAGGGCTTGCTTTGTGATATACCCCCGCCATTTCCAAATCTGCTTTCTCACAGACCTCCACTGCTGGTGTTCCCACCAGCACCAGTGCAGTGTTCCCCAAATTCTGACGAGTCTCCTCTAACTCCACTAGAGGTCACAAAGCTTCCCGTTTTAGAAAATGTGTCTTACATCAAACAACAACCTGGAGCTTCTCCATCTTCACTGCCACCTCATACACCAGGCCATCAAAAACTGGAGAAAGACCAGACAGTATCTCATGGAACTAGCACCCCTGGGCACACCTCCTCACCTCCTCATCCTTCTACCTTATACAGAACACAGTCTCCACATGGTTATCCTAAAAGTCACTCTGCCTCACCTTCTCCTGTCAGTATGGGTAGGTCTCTTACCCCCTTAAGCCTCAAAAGACCTCCACCTTATGACTCTGTACATTCAGGAAGTCTCTCAAGAAGCTCTCCATCAGTGCCTCATTCTACAGCCAGAAACACATTGCAAGAAGGAGGAAAGATGGTAAATGCCTCTGTCAGTACCTACGGGTCATCCTGTCAGAGTGGTTCCCGTTCTCGGACACCCACCAGTCCTCTGGAGGAACTAACCAGCCTCTTCACCTCAGGACGAAGCCTCCTGAGGAAGTCCTCCAGTGGCAGAAGATCTAAGGAGCCTGCAGAAAGTAAGTCCTTGATGTGATTTTTCTCATTCTTCTTTTTGCGATACATCTTCCACCGTATTTTAGTAAATCAAGTGCTTTCAAAATTAGATCTCTCAGAAGTCCGAATTCCTTATATAAATCTCTTATAATGAAAAGAAAAATTATTACTGTCAAAATTGCTTTAGTCTTCCTATTGTTATATTTATAAAGTTTTTAAGTATGCCTACTGCACTACAGAAGTACAGTTCATGACTTGGTCTTGCAAAAGAAATCAGTTTTCATTGATTTTCCACAAATATAATGTTTCCATGTGAGTTGGGATCCTTCTACCATGGCACATCTTTCCCTTCTTGATTGCTAAGACACAGTCATTGTCCAAGCAGTTTGTAGCAAAATAAGCAAACAGTACTTGTTTGGAGTTTTGGGGGTTTTTTTGCAAAGATCCAGTGATCACCCTTAACTTGACCAGTGATCCTGGCAAGTAAGATGCCAACCAGAGGTACCAGCTTAACTTCAGTTAAACCTTGGTCAAAGGCTGGAGTCAATGGCTTTGGAGGTCTCTTCCAACCTAAATGATTCTGGGATTCTTTGTAAACCATTCCTCTCCCTCCCACTGCCTCCTTCTGAGCTGTGACACAGAGTATCTCTTTCAGCTGGGCTATGGGGGCTGGTTGGGAGGTTGTGCTGTGAATTGATCTGAAAACCAACATTATCTATAACACGCATAGCCTATAAACCCACACACAGAGAAAAGCACAGGAGGAAATTGTGCAGGAAAACCTTAAGCCAAATATTGACTTGTCATATGCTGTATCATAAAATCGCTGCCCCATGTGCATTCAGGTTTACAACATGTGCACTTCTGAGCTAGTGAAATGTGGAAACTCATAATGATATCAACGTGAGTCCCACGTATGTGTGAACGCAGGACCTTGTACTCGTTTTTCTGTTGCCAAAAAGGTTCCTATTCAGTGTTGCCAAAGACAGTGTCCTGCAGTGGAAGGTCACCCTAACACCTCTTGTCAGAGTGCAAAGTGGGCTCAGCACACTTTCTCCTCCAACTTCAGTGAAGTCAGTTTATGACTTTGAAGTCTTGTCACCTGCCTAAAGGAAAAGCTCTCTTAGGAGAACAGCTGATCTCATGTTTGTGTGGGTGCTCTATTATGCCTATTTGGCAGCTGTAGCATATTAAATAAGATACAATAAGCTACTCTAGTTTATACCTGATAAAGGAAGGCACTCTGATTTCCAGGCTGCCGTATCACTACTGAAGAGAAGTGAATCCCACACTGCCTTTCAGGTTGTGTTTGCACCCCTCACTTACATTACTTACTGCAGTGTGGTCACATCACTTTTTGAGCTCAGGAGGCTCGAAAGAACACCCCCTCTGGGTTTCCATGGCAGAGGTTGTCTGTCTCACACTTCTGCAGCTCAGTGAGTACATGCCAACGTGTGGGTGTCAGGGAGCTTGGTGGCAGTGGGTTGGGCTGGCCTACAACACATTCCTCCTGACTCGTGGACTCTGCTGCCCCAGCCTCAGCAGTGTTCCTATTTATCTCTGTGGACATCAGGAACAATGACTCTGGAATCAGAAGGTGGGGAGGTGAGAATGGACTTAGCAAGATACTGAGAATACTACTTGGCACAGCAGTTTGCTTAATTTGGCTTTAGTATTTTCGTGGCCTGCAACCATTAATCCTGTTTTATGAAAGTCTCAGCTCCACGGGTTTCATTAATTGATTGCAGTAGTAAAAATTCAGTAATGCCAGATTTGTGTGCTGGATGGGAGCAAGTTTGTATCTAAAAGGTAAGATGATTCTTGTAATTGGGAACAATTGTGAGGGATGTGATGTGACATTTTTAAATAATTTCAGTGAAGCGTTAGATTTTGGCAAAGTGCAGGTAATACTGAACATTATAAATCATGCTTCTTATTCAGAAGTGAGCAGAAATCCCCTGTAAACCCTGTGCTACACCAGATCTACACAGTGAGCTTTATAAGAAGGTTTTATGCTCACCAGTGTAAGCAGGTTTGGAACCTGTGGAAACTCCTGTATCAAGAAAGTCCTGGGAAAGTTCAGCATATCTGAGCTGCTGTCTCGTATCTACCTCCAGAAAGATATTTTCTGTATTTCACTTCACTGAAATTGAATACAAACCTTTCAAGGGGCTAATAAATTTAGACTAAACCTTGCCCTGCAGATCTGTACCAAGAGCAGCTTTCTTGGCCTCTCAAGGAACATTCTGTTTGCTCCTTAGGAAGTAGAAATGTGCTTCTTATTGGTTACAAATGTTAAGACAGCAGAGATATGAAATGGAAACTGTGTTCATTTACTTTAAGAAAAACACGTTTGTGCTATAAATAGACACAAGTGGTGAAAAGACTCTGGAGTGCAGCTGTGTTGAGTAAATGAACAGACTGCCCACCTAATCCGATTGTAATTTGTCTGGTATTTACAGTATGGGTTAATCCTGTGGGATTACTGCCCTGAGCAAGAACCAGGTTTGTCTCCAGATATTACAGAGGTGGAAGACACTCCAGGATTTATAGAAAAGACATGCAGGTCTAACATTTTATGTCTTGAAATGATCCACCATAAAGAATCTAAATTGGGGGATTTGGACATAGCATTTGACCAGACTGTCACATTTACATGTCATGATTATACATTGTGATAGCAGGGGAGGCTGGACTATTCATACAGTATGTTAATGAAACCTTGCTCCTGCAAATCACCCTGGAAGCCTAAGGCATTCATACCATTCTGGGTTATTAAGCAGTGGGAGAGCAAATGCATAGAGTAGGACTAACTGGGACTGCCATGATTTTATAATTGTCATGTCAGTGTAATTTTCTCTTAGCATACAGAAAGATTTCCAGATTCTAGAGGATAATAAACACACACAGAATTAGGAATATTTGCCTCTAAAATATTAAATTAATCTGACCGCATCTCAAGCAACTTTCTTATTGAATCCTCCAAAACTCAACCCTCTGTGACTTGTCTAAAGCTTCCATTACCATATGCTAGTATTAAAGCACAAAAATAAATTTTGTGTTCAGTTGAGTGCATTTGGAAAATATTGCAGCAGTTACAGAGATAATTCTCTCATCTTTATTGTTTGTACAACTGACTTTGTGCAAGTTTGGCATCTGAGTCCAAACTCCAAATGCATTCGCTGGCTTTTAATTTGTAGCATTTTTTATTGTGGTGTTTTTTTTTTTTTTAAGAAGATGGGACTGTACGAAAATTACCTCCAGTCAACAGCTCTAATATACAGGCAAAGCTGTCCTTTTGGTCTTTCTGTATTATTTTATTCACTCTCCTGCTATATTTCCCTTTTTCTCCTCCTCCGTTTTCTTTCTTTAGAGTTCTTTTGCATTAGTGAGAAATTGGGATCAATCATTGGGATCAATTGGGATGCCACCTCAGGGCCACATTTTCTGAGGGTATGAGCTTCCACTGAAGCTCCAGACATGTTGCTGAACACACTCAACACCACTGGCTGCTGCTGTGATGTGCGAATCTGGATTTTATAAGCAGCTCACTTATTGTGCTGTGTTCTCCTAAAAATCCTCTTGTGTGCTCTTAGCATCTTAAATATGCATTACAGCACAATTATGAAAGTGGGGAGAAAAGAACAATGAAAATTCTAAGGCCTAATAAGAAATGAAAAAAAAATTGGTGCAAGATGATAAAAAAGAAAGGCAGAGAGATGGAGAGAACCCTACAGAAAACTGAAGAAAGGTGTAGGGCATGAAAAATGTGAAAGGGTGGAAAGGACAGATATTATTAATTGTCACTGGCAGTTCCTTAACCCTTCTTGCTTTTGTGTGGGACAACATTTGTGTGCCTTAACACTTGGCTGACCCCTGTGAAATATAACTTCAGTCCTCAAAGGGTAGAAGGAAACTATTTAAAGGGTACCAACACTGCCAGGTGTCCCTGGGGGGCTGCAGTGTGCCCTTTTCTGATGTAGCTGGAAGGTGTTTAGGTGTGACCACTCAGTCCAGCTGTGTTGAATGACACATTCCCTTTGTTGTTGCTGTGAACACTGAGTGCCTGTGGTATGTGTGCCCTTCTGTAAAGAGGGAACTGTGGAGGGAGAGGGAGGGAATGGCCTTGAGGTTTTGTGCAGCTGTACTTGCTGCTTCTGTCTTTTCTGCACCATAGAAACACGCTGTACTCCATGATAATACAGCACCAGAGTCATGTGCCTAAGGCATACCCACAGCCTGAAGAGCAGAACAGAGAAGCTGCTGTGCATCTGCACTGCCCTGGCTTTAAGGCTGTGTGTGGCTTCAAGGCTCTCTGTGTGAGATGCTCTTGTAAACAGTTGTTAGGATCAGCTTCTCTTTTTGTGCATTGGTTGTTTCCTTTTTTTTTTTTTTTTTTTTAAGGCTTCAGTTTCCTCATGATTTCCTGGGAACTTCATGCCAGTTTTGAGCAAATATTGCAAATGTTCATCCTAACTGCACATCAGAATAGGTACCTCAGCTGTGTGCCCTGAGTGTGCCTGTGCATGAGGTGCAGGATCAGGACACACGACACAGAGCAGCTGGTGGGGTTTTTTTCCTAAGCTGCTCTGCAAGACTTTGGAGCTGCTTTGGCTTTTATTCTTTTTACTTGTTTTATTCTTCAGCTTCTGGTTACGTATAGGGAGGAAGTTTGTAAATGTGCTACTTTGAAAAATCAGTTAAAGTGATTGAAAATTGGCATAATTATTAAGATTTCCTGTTCCTGGCTGGTACACAGTGAATTAGGAATCTAAACCTGTCAAATAGTGTGGGAGGGGAGGGGTGCTGAAGTGGCTCACTTGCTACAAAGGAGCTCAGGCTTTGTTTTTGTTTGGGAGAGGGTGTTGTTTGTTTGTTTTGTTTTCTTTTTGTTTAATACTGCTGCTTTCCAGGAAGTAAGAAAGCCCAGAGAAGCTGGGGATGTCCCTCCTCTGAAAATGTTCCAGGCCAAGTTGGATGGGCCCTGAGCAACCTGATCTAGTGAATGATATCCCTGTCCATG